TTTTCCCAGAAACACTCTCCTTCCAATGACTATTATTGCTTCCACATCTCCCAGCCAGCAAAAATGTGCCTGAAGAACAGATATTTTGAGGAACAGATCCGTTGGGTGCCCCTGATACAGGAACAACTCCCAATTCCACTGACTTGAGACATCAATGCTTGACTTTCTTGATTCACTGGATCTTTTCCACTCGTTGGCTTTTCTGTATTCACAAACTCGTACGGGGAACTTCATCATGAACTCTTTTATCTTCTTCTCTTTTCTGCTATCGTCTCTCTCTTCTCTCCAGATACAGCAATGTCAAAGGTTATAGCTCCTCCATAGTCATCGCAGTTGATTATAGCTTTCTCGTAGTATAGCATCCATAGCTGATAAGTTCAATCGCAGCTAGCCACGAGGGACAGCCCTCGGGCACACACACCTCTGTTACGTTCCGTTGCCATTTATAGTGTATTACAACATCTACTATTTGTGGAAACTGCTGAGTCACATTACAGATATTTCTGGAATATTACAGATTATAAGATAATTCTAGAAAAGTCTGGAATTGCATGCCAGATAAACTAAAAATAATTCTGATCCTCATAACAATAAGACCTTTTTATTTTTTGGTGATGTTCCCTCACACTTATAGGGACGTTTTTAGTTATATAATTTGAAGGGGCCATATTTGCCACATTCCGTGGATATCCCCAGCCTTCTAGCGATTTCGTCAAAATCGCCAGTCTAGACTCCAAGGGGACACTTTTGGCGTCCAACTCAAAGTTCGTCAGAGGCTGGCGATTTTTCGCCATTTTCGCCATGGCATGCATTTCTGGACATAAGTTTTATAAAAGACATGAAAGGAAAATTCGATAGATCTTATTTGTCATGATTTATAGGTGCTATAATTCATTGCATTTAAATAAAGTTTAATGAAGCGCAAGCAGTTTGGCATAATTCAGATAATTCTTGTTGAACTATTAAAGTGCGTTTGGCTTGAGGCCGCAAACGTAATTGCATGCATCAGGCATCTCGCCACTGGCCTTGGTCTCTTTTTTTTTTTTTTGGGTGTTTTCTCCTACGGAATCTGCCTCCTTCTCCCTCTGTCTGACTTGAAAATGGCGCCGTGATTTCTTTCACTAAGCGATGCAAGGAAACGGCGGGAACAATGTGATGGCTTCTCGATTTTGATTGGCTACTGTTTGATTCTAACTTTTCATTGATTTTTTTAGCGGGCTAAATGCCTAGTTAAGTCTTTTGTAATGTAGGTTTTATGAAACGCAACAAAATAAAGATCTTTTAAAAACAATCATACCACTTCTAATTATCTAGAGGAACAACTGAGTGAAGAGAACTCAGGTAAAAGGTTTCAACCCATCAGTCATTTCAAAAGTAATTCAGGACTACGTTCACCCGGACGATCAAACTCAACCTACTTTTGAGTGAAGAGAGTTAGTAAAAGTTACGAATGTGCAATCACAAACTAATAATGAAACTTGGTAGACACAATCAAACTACTAGAGATCAGAGATATAAATAGGAATTGCCCTCTTTGGATCTCTTTGTGGATCTTATCAAATAGAGGACAAAGATCACTTTCTTTTTTGGTTGTTCTAAATACTCTGTGATTAGGAATAATTTTTACAATTAAGTCAAGACTGATTCGAAATACTATATTACCGAGTTACGCGTAACGTTTTGATCAATGAACTGATGAACTCATCTAATTAATCTAGTACAAATTTTTGTCAAAGAGACAACTGCAAGGACTGATCAAACAGCGTGAGTAGACTGTAGTTGCGATATTTTGACTGGCCAATATCAGTCTTCCTCAGGTTCAAGAAAGTCACTAGATACTTTATCAATAGGTGCGGTTACACTATAGCCGTTTTTTACCCATGGGCAAATGGCTGTTGCCAACGGGGAAGCAACTTTTTGTGTGTGACCGATTTCCCCAAGGTGTAATTTTCTTGAGAAATTTCAATGGATACGTCAAAAAGAATAAAAGAATCTCGCAAAGACATCGGTAAGAACCCAGAACGGCTCAACCAATCACGAGAAAGTGAAATGTACCAAACAGTAGGAATCACGTGTTGTTTACGTGCTGTGAGTCGTCATGGCGCCAAATCCTACCCGAAACTGGACTCAAAGCATGGGCTGTGGTAAACATAACTTTCTGTTATTTAATAAATAAAGGTTTTAAAAATCTTTGTGTAATAAAGTTGATTTAAGTCTTCGTAATGACCGAGCGCGCTAAGAGCACGGTGTAATACACCGCGCGCAAAACGCCCGCACCCCAGCGGGTAGCTTGCTTGAAACCTTCTTAAGATACGAGGGCTGTCAACGTTTGTTCTGGAACAATAACCTAAGGTTCTGAAATAATAGTTACGAGTTCCCTTGACTGTTCGTAACTGAGTAGAAGTAGTGTAGTGGGTTCAATTGATAGGGTGCTCTCCAGTAGTCACAGAAATGTCTTAAGATCATCAGGTTTCAGTGTAAGACCAACACAATATTAACTTGCGCAGCAGATATGGTTTTTAAACTGACTGCAGATGGCCTGAATTTCGGCATTGGTAGTGTACGACTTGAGGAGACGGCTGAAATTCAGGCCACCATGAGAACGAAAGTATTTATTTTGACAATTAAATTGAAGAATAAGTTTATTTGCAGAAAGGATTAGTACTAAAAGGCCTACTGATTTCTATGAAGTTCCTCAATAAAACTAACAGAATTTGCAACCTAAACCTCATAGTGACACTGATTTACCCCTGGGGGATTCCTAAATAAAAGTGACGGGGATGCTCGTCGTCTCTGCCCCTAGCCGCCGCCAAACCGCCGCCTTGTTAGCTCAGTTGGGAGAGCGCCAGTCTGCCGAGCGGAGGTCGCAGGTTCAGACCCCGGCCGGACCAACACCCAGGGTCTTTAAATAACTGAGAAGAAAGTGCTGCCCTTGTAATGACATCTGACTTTCTAGTCTTCTCGGATAAGGACTAAAAACCGTAGGTCCCGTCTCACGGCACTTTCACTGATTTGTTCTTGTGGGACGTAAAAGAACCAGCATCACTATTCGAAAAGAGTAGGGGTCGTAGACCACTGGTGTGGCCAACCTTTACGGGTTGTGGGATTGGGTGGAGACGATGGCACCTCGCATGGGACCTGAGTCCCGTTCGTGCACATTCTCTCTGGGCAGGCCTGTGTCCAGAAATTAAAAGCTGGTAAAGAAATAAATAGGGGTCTAAATTGCAGATGTTGGTCTCTCTTACTGGGTGTTTGGAATGGAAAACCACTATAATTGCCAAGAACCGATTACCACTAATCGGCTTCTGATTTGCACATTCAGGTATCGCTTAGGGACCGGTCATTATTTATCGCCTGGGGGGTCGGAGTATTTGGGGGGATCACATGGTTTTTGAAGACCTTTAGGGGGATCAGCCGTAATTGACAAGCATAATGGGGGGATCAGACGAAAAAAAAAAGGAATTTTAGGTCGCGCCGGGACCCCGGGTGAGTGCATTTGTAAATACTTTGGTAGGATTTGCCGCTAGGACTCTAAACCCCCAACCGTATATTCAAGACCACGTTCAGTTGTATTTTGCATTATATAAACTTTATTCTAGCCCAGACACAAAACCCAAACCCTTTTACAGACCCTCCCTGTAAAAAAGTATTACTATCGTAGTCTAACATACACGTTGTTAATCAGGCACGATCTATTGAAATTAGAAAGGTAATCAAGATGTTGAGAATGGAATACTTACAATTGCTCAAAATTGTTTCATGACGTTTCAGTTTGTTTTATAGAGAATCATAATCTAAAATCATAAACGTTCATTATTTTAATACGCGGCCGAATGAAAACAACAAATAAAAAAGTGTTTATTTTGGTGAGGCTGTATCTTGTTCCGCTTCCGTGTCAGAATCTTCGACAGCCCTCTCCACTGGCTCTTGCACAGTCTCCACGTCAGATTCATCGGAATCCTCGCCCGAACTTGACCCTCTTTCAGCACCATTACTGCTATTCTCTTCGTTCATTCTGGCCACTACCACTTTCAAATTGCGTGCCAGCTCTGTTTCAAACACGCCTCTTTCAAATATCTACCGTTGTTGTTCAAGGTCCATGAGACGTAAGTACCACTATCAAAGATATCACTTGCATATTCAAAAAGTTATTTGGCGGTGGCTGGGAGAAAGGGGGGGGGATCATGAAACTTTCCACTACCAATAAGGGGGGATCTTTAAAAAACTAGATACTCTACGGGGGGATCAGGTAAATGCTCCGATGTGACAACAAAAATACTCCGACCCCCCCAGGCGATAAATAATGACCGGTCCCTTAGGGCTGTGCATGAAAAAAAAAAATACAGAAAATGTGACACTGACCACACGCAGGAGACAGAAATCACACGGAAATCTAACGTTTAAAAAAGAACTCGACATCCCTGTTTTAAGTTCAAGCTTCAACCACTCCTTAGGGGTTTAATTTTAATTTTAAGACTATCATCCACGTCACTTTTATATGGGAGCGCGTCCCCACGGCTGATTTGCAAATAAAGTTTTAAAAGCTTTTTAAAACTCTATGGCTTATTCTAAACTCCAGGTAGGAGAGCACAGTGCCCCCGTCTTAACCATGCACGGGAATTTTGAATGACGGTTTACAACAACAACAACAACAACAAAACCATGACAACAGTTTATTGTACTCCTGTTAACAAAAAAAGATTAAGTTAATTTACAAAGAATAAACTTAATAGGGCGCGGATTTCCCAAAATAAATAATAAACAAAAATGAAATGCCTGGGTGAGATAAACTGGTCATCGATCAAAACTAGAAATCTAATATTAAATATGACTGTCCCAGTTACGCTGAAGTCACACTATTAAACTGTAGTAAAAAAGGCATCAAAAACCTGAGGTAATAAACTCTTTTAGAATCTACCAAAGAAACATTGACATATGACGTGTCAGTGTCACCACATAATGTTCAATTTTAAGCCGCTGAGGCGAAAAATACATTGTAGCTATTCCTGTACATTAGATTCTAAATTATTTATGACTGACAAAATCTCTGAAACAGCCTCTCTCCGAGCCACTCTTACATTTTCGAGTCCATCTGTATCGATTAAATCCAAGCTTAGAATGCATTGAGTCAAGTGTTCATCTAAATACAAAAACTCCTTGTCACGTCGTGAACCTTCGAAAGCTTTAACTCTTGGTCTCAGTTCCCTCGCTTTCGTTAACTGAATCTTGATTTCATTTAACTTCTCTTCCTCTACAGCCGAAAGCTTTCCGGATTCCACCGGTCTCGATTCCTTCGCACTTTCAACTTCATTGTCAGTTCCATGACTCAGATCTAAATTTTCTGCTTTGTTAGCCGACCGGTCTGCACTTCGTATAGTATTTTCCTGAACTGCGTCGGGTTTTTCCACTGCATCATTGTCGATAAATGTATCGCGAGAACTTTGCTCCCTGTTTCTTCTTGGAGTTTTATCTTCTTCGGGAGGCAGAAATTCGACTGGAATATCAACAGCGTCTTGAGGTAAAGTTGGCTCGAATGTCTCTATATTATTTGTCTTCTCTTTCGGTTTCTTGTGAAGCTCTATCTTCAAGGGTTTTCCCCTGGTATGATAACATACTGGATTCTCCGTTCTGTCGTCTACCGATCTTGCTTTTTTCCGGTGGGAAACCTTTCGTCGCTTGTCACATGGAAAATAAACAGGATTTACCCAAAAGGGGTGTGCTCTTTCTGCATAAAATCCACCGAAACCAGTGAATGGACTATGAGAAGTCTGAAATCTGCTGGACCAGGGATCACTGAATATTCCGTCCCACATATAAAACACTTTTTCTTCTTATTTGTCGCGTGAAGTCTTGTTTGTCCGATTACTGAAACGTTTAACTGACTTGCTGTGAACGTTGCAGCCCTTTTATAGATCGTTAACAACACACAAAATCCATCACTGCTAATTTTAAAACGATCCCTCCAGAGACTTCCAGAACCTTCGGGAAAACCCCAGAAAGTGCTCGAAAAAAGCTTCATTCCAGGGAAGGGTAGAGAGAATCAATTTTGTTGTGGTTTACAAGTCAACTGTCGTTCATCTTCGCATACTTCGTTTAACTTTCATTTTCTATATTGAATGATATAATTTTAGTAAATATACGCTGGAGCGTTTTGTTTTACAGAACAAAATTATTGCAAAAAGCTTCTAAGAGAAAAGTACCCTCTCCTCCCTTACTAGTATAAGTTTTTGACCTTTCTGGAAGATTCTGGACACGTGGCTCTTAATATAAAATGGCATCTTCGAAGCGAGAATTCAGTTCCAGACAAAGTTTTTCCGCGCAAATTGTGTATCAACTTAAGCATGGGAAAAGACTACTACAAGATTCTAGGCGTCCCTAAGACAGCCAAAGACAACGAGATAAAGAAGGCTTACCGAAAACTCGCCTTACAGTGGCACCCGGACAAGAACAAGGCTCCCGGAGCAGAGGAGAAATTCAAGGAGATCTCTGAAGCTTACGACGTACTTAGTGATAAGGAAAAAAGAGAAATCTTTGACAAATATGGTGAAGAGGGCCTTAAAGGGTCTCCAGCAGGGGGAAACAACTCGAACATGCATTTCCAAGGACCAGGATTTGCAAGAACTTTCGTATTTACTAGTGGAGATGCACGCCACACTTTTGCAAGAGCTTTCGGTAATGACGATGAATTTGCAGACCTTATTGGCGGCTTAGGAGGGTTTAGCTTCTTCAACGACCTCAGAAGGAAAACGTCAGGGTCAAGAACAAGCGCTAATGATAGTTTTATGTTCGACTTTGATAGCGTTCCACCGCCGCGAACGAAGAAACAAAAAGTTCAAGATCCGACGATCGAGAAAGATCTACTTGTTAGCCTCGAAGAGCTCTTGAGCGGCTGTACGAAAAAGATGAAAATATCGCGAAAATTCTACGACGAGCGTGGAAGTTTCACGAACGAAGAAAAAATCCTTACGGTAAATGTGAAACCAGGGTGGAAAGCAGGGACAAAGATTACTTTCCCGAAGGAAGGAGATAGAAAACCTGGAGTCGTTCCTGCTGACGTTGTGTTTCATGTCAAGGACAAACGTCACTCTCATTTTTCACGAGATAGCAACAACAATCTTCTTTACACCGCAAAGATTTCATTACGGGATTCCTTGACCGGTGGGCAGGCAGAAATTCCTACAATCGATGGACGTAAAATAAAACTACGTTTGAATAGTATTGTGCAACCAGACTCTACTAGAAGGATCCATGGAGAGGGACTACCACTACCAAAAAATCCCTCCAAGAGAGGTGATCTGATTGTCAAATGTGACATTCAGTTTCCTGATAAACTTACACAAGTTCAAAGAGATATTTTATTAGACACGCTACCAAGTTAAAAAACTTTTTTTCCTATCGCGTGAATCTTTTAGAACAAGAACAACATCTATAACGAGTTACTATGCCATCGAAAAGTACAAAATATTGTATTTGCATGGTGAACTGATCTTGTAGTATACTAAAAATAAATTTACGATAATACATATGGCCTTTTTCAGCGGAAAGTGCGAGATCACATTAAAAATATATGTATTTATCCCAAAATATTTTTTTCAGTGCATAATAATCTAATATAAAGAAGACGTAGATATTGAGCTTTTCTCATATGAAAAATGTTATCGGGGATGTTATTTCAGGGATTTATCCATTTTAATTGTTTATTGTGCTTATAATTTATTTAAAATAAAAATATATCTGATCATTGTGTACAATTCTGTAAAATTAATGTTGGTAAATTATTCCGAAGCGACTGTGTATGTGGGTTCGGGAGAGATGGAGGAAGGAGGGGGATTTCTGCATTGAGTAGCCTCCCACACAGAGACATTCTTAGGGGTTCATCCAGGTTCCTGCACCGCAAACATCAGCTGATGTAAAATGCAAATATCAGCTGGAGCTCATATGCTGACTATCGGAAAACCAATTGGTGCTGTTTAAGTCAAAGTGTTGACAAGCCAAACACGATGTAGAAGCTCGGTAGAGTGTGATCGATACATGACCAAAGAGTTTTGCTCTCTGTACGAAGGTGTGTGAGTCAACTGTGGTGAGTAGTTTAATAATATGTTGTTCTAAAAGTGTAAGGTCTTCACCTTTCATGAAACCTTTCTGATCTTTTCTGAAGTCTCACACAAAATTTCTCAAGGTTCAAAGTGCACTTCCCAAATCTGGAAGTGTGCTGTGATTGATCTTTCGCTTTTCCCTCTCGTTTCAGCAGATGTTTGTGGGGCAGGAGCACTTGAAGAACCCCTAAGAACGTCTATATGGGAGGTTATGCACTGAGTGGCCCTCTGCAATTTTACATTTTATTTGCCTTGTGATTGTCACATTTGCTAAACAGAAATTATGTGGTCATCTTTTGATTATGGGGCTACATTCACACTCCCGGACGAATTTTTGACTGGTAGTATGTTAAGGTGTTCCACTCACTAGGAACCACCTTAATTGTTTGAAAATTAAGATGCCTAGCTCTTCAAAGTTCCATGTGAACAGAGAGAAAATAATGAAAAGTCTCATGTGAACAAAGAGTCCAGTCAAATTTTATCTGGGGCTGTGTGAAGGTAACCTGAATTATCTACCTTTTTTACATTAATTTTCTTTGGGGCAGTCTTGTTGAAAATGTATGAGCTAATCTAGCAATGGTTCTGGGAAATCCACCCCTGTAGTCTCATTTCAAGTGGTGGAGACTAACAAAGCACTTACTCCCTCAGACTTTGCCAACCAAATAGAAATTAATTAATTACCTCAGCTAGAAAAATTCTGTAACTGATAAACTCTATTTAGAAGCTGATTAAGATGCTATTAAAGAATTGCAGTCAGTTATACAGCCAGACCATTATATTGTAAAAAGTGTTGTACATGTTGTAAGATGCACTTCGTCTCTAAAGAAGGAATTAGAAGAAGAGAGATTATCCTCTCTTTTTCTAATACCTTCTTATGTAATTATGAACTTAATGTAACTTATCAGTGGTGGATCCAGGGGAGGGGCCCAGGGGGCCCAGGCTCCCTTTAGTTTTAGACCAAACTGGGGCCCCAAAGTCTGAAAAAAAAAAATGGTTTTTTGAGACTGCCCCCCCCCCCCACTTCTCTCAGGGTGGATGACCAGGCTCCCCCTTTATCTGAAGGTCTGGATCTGCCCCTGCTTATAGCAGTATCAAATGGGGGTTACTTGGGTTAATTTTTGCCGGGTATGTGCCGCTGGCCTTCCAGAGCCCCTACACCATTATAGTCTATTCTGTGGCCAATTATGGCTGACCCCATCTTGGGTCCCCATCACTTTTGGGCAAATATGTAATTTTCCTTACAGTAGTCACTTTCTATTTTTATGAATTGACCCATTTTTTAGATTGAATGAAGAACATTTTACTTTTCATCTGCAGTACAAACATTCTGGTATGTTTGCTGATCGTAAGTATGAAGAACTTTCTTACCCCAAAAATCTGAAAATTTGCAACCCCATTCTAGAAACTCTATTGAAGATGGGACCCCATTATAGTCAATCCAGTAGTGAAAATGCGACCCCATCCAGCGGGACATCCCATTAGCCTCTTATAAGGAAGAACCCCCCCTCCCCTGGTATAAACTATCAAAGGGGAGCATACATCCCCAGCCCTCTCCAAGGAATGGGGTGCTTCTTCTTCTAGCTTTTTCCCTTCCAAACTGAAGGGAAGATTAGGCTTGATCTCCGCTGTCTCCCAGGTCTGTTGTTTGATTCAGATGGCAGCTGGTAATATTGAGCCTAAAGGGAAAAAGGAATTTAGAAGTGTAGCAATCTATGCTTGTCAGTTAACCTTTTGTTGAATTGAACTTAAGTGAGGAAATTACTGAAGGGTGAATTTTACACAGTTTTCATCTAATCACAGAAACAGCATATAGTTAGTATAATGCAAACCTTTCCAGGAAAAATTTATTAAGTTTGTATACATGCAATAATTTATTTCTGAGGAACGAATCTAAAACAAGAGGGCCTGCTTTATCATTAAGGCAGAATTGAAAAATGCTACAGCGTTGATATATCTCAGAAGGAATGCTGGCATTGAATTGAAATGTAAGCACGTTCTGCATGTCAGGGAAAGGGGGCACTTAAGTCCCTCTAGTCTCTCCCAGGGTCTTTCAAAAATTATATGAGAGACTCTGGCAATAATGTACTGGGGGTACTGGCTTCTACCTTAAAGTTATTGTATCCTTTACTCCAGTTGCATTTTTAAAAGGCCAGTTTTAAGCATCAAGCTTCATGGGACCAGAAAAAGGATATAGAGATATAGGTGCTGCTTTGCAGACATTAGGGTGTAGATTTAACGTCTGCGATACAGGCTACTTAGAGGAAGTAATGTAATGATCCAATCACTAACTGCCACGTCAACAACTTGTACCAAAAACAACATACAGTCAACCTTCTCTAAGCATGCATACACCTACAGTTTGTCCCTGCCTTTCTTCACTCCATTTAGTTGACTCTCTGTGAGATGGACTTCTGCCCTAATACAGACAAACAGGTGGTCCCAAAGGAATTTGCCTTAGAGAGAGTCTACTGTATTTTACTGTCTTTTTAAATCTATTCTTGAGTAATTAAATTTACTTCCTGGCAGTGGGAGATTCGGATCTTCAAGTTAAGTGGATGTTAGCGTCAGGGGGCCACTCATCTAGACCCTAGATAAGAGGGAGCCCAGCCTCTGAAATAATTTTTCTGTGCACTAAGGTCTTCAATTTGGCATAACAATGAGGTTGGGCCCTAGGCCCCTCCCCTGTATTTATCACTGTCCAGTGATATTTTGCAAAGGTTGTTTCAGTACTGATATAGTCAGAGTTAGGTGGAGTCAAGTCAGTGACTAGACTTGCCAGCATTCGACAGAAACAGAGTCACAGACTATTTCAATTTTCTTCCTTTTTCCAGTTTATGACTCCAATTCTCTGATCTAGTGAAAAAATGAAAACTGAGACTCTTTAATTTTGCTAAGCATCATTATGAAGCTTAGGATATGTTCATTCTATCCTCAATAACTTTTTGTGTTGCCTTTGAAAATAGCTATCCACAATGGTTGTGTGAACATAGCTTTGATGACTCTGCCTCCGTCGCAGTGACACAACCAGCATAAACTAATTCACTACAGAGGAACCTTCGATATAACGAAGGGCCAAGGGACTGCCAACATTAATTTGTTTGCTTTAAAGAGGTTTCGTTATAATGAGGTTCTTTTCCATACATTTTCCTATTGCTGGGATAAAACCGTTCATTACTCCTAGGGACTTTGTTACGTAGAGGTTGATTATAAGAGTTTGACGGTAGTATAAATATTACATATTCAAGATTTGTTAATACCATGTTGTAATGATTGACGTTAGTGTGGGCTAAAAATAACCAAGTTAACCCCTCTCCCCTTCCCAACTCAAGAGGGTGTGTTTGGTGGGCTGCACAATAGCCATCACTGTTACAAATGTAACTTTTTAGCATCGGTGTTTGTATTTACAGCAGACTTCCACATAGATAAAAACTTCCACATTGATAAATGCTGTGGGTCAATACTAGATTACGCCCTAGGTAGATGTACCCTACATGGTGCTGTGCTTCAAGTACCCCTCCCATGCCACCTCCTGAGTTTAACCAATTACCTGCTCCTACTGTAGATTTGTGTCACTGATAATGATCAGTCTGGTCAGGGTCTATTCCTGAAAAAGCTAGCAAAGCTTGCCAGGCTGTCTTAGACCCTCACATGGCAAGTCAGTACTGATGATAAAATTCCCATCCATTTAGGACTGTTAACGCCCCTATCCCCTCAAATCCCTTCAAAATTCAGTGGCTGGAGAGCTGGTCTTTTCATGGCTGACTACTAGATGAGCAGTAAATATCTAAAATTTCCTCAGAACAAAATAAACAATTTATTGCCTCATTTTACAAAACAATCTATTCCATATTTTCTTTGTGCAAGTGCAAGATCATACACATGCTTCCAAGAGGATACTACAACAACTAAGAGGGAGAGAAAAGAGACAATAGTACCTCTTAGAACTTAATAAGAAAGGATCTTTCAGTGAAGGAGTAAAGGAAAAAAATGAAAAAACCAAATCACACTCTTTCTACAATACTACTGTGTGTTTAAAACACTATTGGGATTTACCAGCAAATTCTTTTCAGTTTATCAACACTGGAATAATATATATATACACAGTCCACTTCTCATATTTTAAATTTTTCTCCTATATTGACAGTAAGCTGACACGATAAATACATGAATATATTATTTCTATACAGTGATAAACTGCCACATTAGATCATGACAGTCTGCATTACAGCTTGCCAAATTGCCCTGTGAACTTTCAAAAGCTTAATACCTTTTATTTTTACCAAGAACAAATTCTTCAAGACTTAGCAAGGTGACGAACAAGCAACATAAATATTAATCATTTCTTAGCACTCCAGACAATACTCAACACTCACAATTTCCATGTAAAGCACCTTCATCAAATTTCATAAAAAGCTGATTAAAAGTATTTTGATTGAATTATTACAAAAGAAGCATTTTAATGCCATGATTACTTTGCCACTAGGAAAATATCATCTGTATTTTTTAAACTTACTTTCACTACTACATTTTGGGTCACGGCATAATTACTACCTGGCTGTCGGAGAAAAGCTTTCTGATGAAGGTGGCTGTTGCGTGCTTTCCTTACTCTAGGGCGCATAATATCCACAACCCTTCAACAACTGACGAAAATTAGTCCTTCACAAAAATAAAAGGCATTTACAAAGGCTTTAGCTGTTTGTCAAAAACACCAATGTATTCAATTACTTAGCTTGATCAAACCTTCACTATTTGGAAACAATTTATTATCAAAATCCACTCACTAACAATTTAGTTTAATCTTTGTGTGTTTAAAACACATTCATTATAAGTGTTTTGAGTGATATGGGTGGTTTATGAAGTTAAAAGAAATTCTATACATGCATTATTAATTTGATAAAAGAATTCACTACCAAAGAAATGCACTCAAGTTATTATTAAAAAGAAAAGGAAAAATGTTAAAATGAGAAAAAAAGATCTTGTTTCATGATATAAGCAAATAGGACCATGCTAATTAAGCATAGTACCACCAAAATAGTTTCTTTTCGAAAATATATGACAAATCTGGATAATATTTCTGTACACCAAAAATTCTTTTCTTAACTGTAATAGCTTCCTTCACGGCAATGACATCCATAAAGTCACACACTAAGGGTGTCATCTCAGACAAACTCTTAGCTACCAAGTGCTAAGAAGGCAACCTGCACTTTTATAGGCCACACAGCCTCGACCAAGGTGACACTTGTGTCTCCAATCAACTGACGGTCATGGAAATTTTCTAATTCCTCTCTCCAATAAAATTGTTTCATGGTACCATACTAGCTAGTTCATGTCTCTCCTGCATAGACAAGTTTGTTGGAAATTCAACATTGAAAGTCACTATCATATCTCCCCTCTGTCCAGGTGATTTTGGGAGGGGCAGACCTTCTCCTGGAATTCTCTTCTGTGTTCCTGGTTGAATCACTTCATTTAATTGTATCCTTAATACTCTTCCATCAATAGTTGGAATCTGTAGTTGACATCCAACAAGGGCATCACGTAGACTAACTTTTGTTGTATACAGAAGATTGTTATCAGCATCTCTCTTAAAATACTGGTGTGGTTTGTCTGCAATAACGAATATAATGTCTGCAGGAATTATTCCTGGTTTCTGGTCTCCATGTTGAGCAAAAGTTATTTTTGTTCCAGCTTTCCACCCTGGTTTAATGTCTATTGAAAGAATTTTTTCTTCTCGCGATGTTCCTCCACTGTGCGATAACACCTGACGACATATTTTAAGTTTTCGCGTACATCCTGTTGCAAGTTCTTCCAAGCTCACTTGGATTGGTGTCTCAATTGGAGGATCTTGTACCCCGTGTTTCTGAAAGGGATCTGGACCTGGGAAATCAAATCCATCATTACAGAAGGTTTTAAAGCCACCAGAAAAAGAGGAGGATGAAGATGTTGAAAACATTCGTGGAAAAGAGGAATTGAAACCATCAAAGATATCTGTTAAACAAAAAAAAATTAAAATCAACACAAGCATTATATTTTTATCGAATTAGTTATCCAATATTGTAACATTCTTGCAGAGAGTACAAGTTGACCAGTTGCCAACAATTTTACTACTAGCTGTAATACATTCCTAAAATTCACACATCATCAATAAAAGGCACACTCTAGGTGTAATTTAGCTTAACTCTTCATTATAGGGGACATGGGACTAAAAATGCACCACCATCTCCAGGAGAGATCTTTCATGCCTCCCAAAATTAATCTACCAAACCACACACTCCTACTAACAGATAGTCGTGTGCAGAGTGCCTTTAAAAATATATTGGTACGTACCTCTGTTTATAAAAATTTAGAAGAGTGGAATTTGCTTTGCAAAATAATTAAAATCAATACAATGAGGAAACGATTTTGCAAATTGTAAACGTGCTCTGACCTAAGTTAAAAGAATATTCTAGAACTAGAAAGTGAAACACGTAAACAATAAAACTTTTAAATAAAACTAATAATTACATATTCAGCCTATTTTCACTTCTTTCATTTAAACAGGAATTAAATTATAACTTTTCGAAACTTGGAGACAGAAATATTCACAATTTGAATTAGATGACATTAAGATTGGTAATCACTTCACTGTAAATGAGTTCTCTCTATGACAACGAAACTCAAAACGATTCGCTCGTGCTCGCAGTTTAAGATTTGATCTCAAGATAGATGCTTCTGAGGATGGGTCGGACAATTGAAGTAAGAAAATGATCTTTCCAAAGTAAAATCTTTCGAACGAAAATCGGTACGGTGCTTGATGTACAAAATTTGAAGAAATTTGTTTTGACACGACAAATAAAACGAAATATTTAAAATATCATTTGCCGATCTATGGAACATTCTAGACATAATTGATAAGCATGAAAAACGCTAAACATGACACTAGTTCAGGAAGAAAAATTCATGACAGAAGACATAACAGATGAGAAAAACCATTTGATAACTCAATTTTGCTGGTAAACCATAATTTAAAGCGAGCATTTTTTTTAGAGCTGGAGCAGTTGAGATCTGAAATTAAAAATGACCGCAGGCTGTGTTTCCACTCCAGCGACTTTATACAATAATTTCTTTTGTCATATTTGAACAGGACGTTCGTCATTTACTTTGACAAGGAAAGAAGAAAGGGCGACCCGCGAACTGCGTCAGGAGTGACTAACTGAAACGTATTATTACAACAAAGCCCACTCAAGCAAAACGTGAAGTAACGCGTATTCAGGAGACATAACCTTCCGTGTGAGAACGGTTATCCAAATTAATACTATATTTGGTGTTTTCACCCTGAAAATTTCATCACGTATAAAGCGAATTGACAGAATAGGCAGAAAAAATGCTGATAAAGAGGGTGCAGGACCGAAATCGAATTCCTACTGGGTCGCCTTCGTGCAATATAAACGGGATTAAAAATAGAAATTTCGAGAAAAAAGGCACACTTCATGTTGTCTTAAAATTGCCACGACGAGGACTTTCGTCTTTAAATGAGAGTAAATCCAGTCATTCTCACTAATCACACAGCCCATGCGACCTTTTCTGACTCGTGACTCGCAAACTCTCGTTAAGCTTCGGTACAATGTATCAAGTTGTAAAATACAAGGCCCATCTTCTCAATTTAGCGTTAGTTACTACTCGACATCTGTACCCTCGCTCGATGAAACCCCAAAACTTTACGGCTCGAAAACTGGTACCTTTGAACGATTTTTGACACTAAACGAAAAAGTTGTATGTAAACCAACAAAATTAAAAACAAACCTTGGAAGGGGCAATCGGGATCATCACCAAATACGTCGCGGAAAATGCTCACGGGGTCGGGGAAGACACCGAAACTAAATCCACCACATTCGTTCTTCAATCCTTCCTCGCCGTATGTGTCAAATATTCGGCGTTTGTTGGCGTCTGTTAAGACTGAGTACGCCTCAGATATTTTCTTAAACTGTTCCTCTGCTCCTTGGTTTTTGTTTTTGTCTGGATGAAAAAGCAAGGCCTGTCTTTTGTAAGCCTTTTTGATATCCTCGGCCGAGGCATTTCGTGGAACCCCAAGAACGGAATAATAATCCTGCCCCATATACGCCAGCGATTTGTTGCAAGCAAACACCTCCTGACTTCAATAGACTTTTTCCTTTAAAATATAGATGAAAGTTCAGCAAAAGCGGGACCACTAGCACGATGTGTCAACACTGGATCTTTCGAAATCCTTTTGCCAACCAACACAATCGCCTTCATTTCTTGAGTTGATCGAAGGTTCTGGAACAGTAATGCTTGGTAGCCACGCCTGAAAGAAACTATTTTTCAACCAACCGGGGTCCCCACAGGTTCGACTTTAAAATATGCACTGAAAACCTAAGTTATTTTAACTTTTTTCCCTTTCTTTCGGAGTTATTAATATTTTAAAACTTTGGGGAAAAATCCGAAATATATTAGACGAAGAAAAGCATTTCAGCCTGGCTAACAATCTTTGCCTATCCCCTCCCTGCTGTATTTTTTTCTGACACGTCGATTATTCAAGGAACACAGTGGGGGTACAATACACGCACCACGAGAGCAGTTGTCACGAAAGATTGAACGTTCTCGAACCAGAATTTGCAACGTTTGGGGTGTGAAAGTATCTCTGTTTTCCTTTTGTTTTGTTTTTTTTTTCTGGAATTCGCAGTTATTTTGCCTGAGGCCGGCCGCACACCGACAACTCATGAAGCGATAAGGTCACCCGATTTAAGAAATATGGCGTCTGGCGGCGATGGCGAACAAGAGAGGTTTCCTCAATTTACTCCTTCAAACTATGAAATCCCGTCCTGGCAAATCGAATGGAATAAACCCTGGTACCAGCAGTTCGACGAAAAACGAAATGTTCAAGGCAAATACAATTCTAGGGGGCATGTGGTGGATTGCAGATGTTCATTATGCGAAGAGGATATGGAAAGTGCATTTAGCCCGCAACCGAGTGATATACCGCACGTTTTTAACATTTCTACAGAAAACTCTGGAAAAGAAGCATTTCCTTACCCACCTGAAGTGAAGAAGGAAAAGCCACAAAACCAAACCAGCGAACGTGTAATTTTATTTTCCGATCTACCGGAAGTTACTCCGACTTCATCGAAACAAACTGCGGAAGAACGAAATACGTCAGCGAGAAATATTTCAGAGAACAGAACTTCGCGAGATACGGAAAGGATTTCTGGCCTTAACAGCGACGCATTATTCAATAGCATTACCACTCTATCTTCAATCCAATCTATTTCAGGTCGCGTTACAGACATTCAAACTCGTGTCAATAATTTTTCTGGTGCGAAAGACAGTCGAGAATTTATCGTTCTCAGAGGACTGCTAGTTTCCACTTTAGCGGAACTAAATCGAATAAACGCCTCTCAAACAGCGTGGCTCCAACAGGCAAAGCATATCGCAATGCAGTCGATCCACGATTTGCTTACGCAGTTGAAAAGTAAAATTAGTGACGATGACGACTTTTAGGGACTCCAATCAGTCAGTCAATCTCGTGATCCATTTTTCACATGGTTCTGATTTCATTCTTGGTGTGATAATTTATCATTTTTTCAACATCCGGCTCATTTACGTATACTCTAAAAAAAATAAACAACCCTCGAGAACTTTCCCCGCTGCTAACACAATTCCATAAATGGATGCTTCAATCAATCACAGGTTTGGTTGACCAGACATTTAAAACAGACGATCGCAACTACAGCTGATGAAACACACCAGGGAGTAACAAGTCTAGAAATATCTAAACATTTGCCCGGAGAGCGTTACGTAACATATTCGCTTTACCGGGCATGCCACACACAAATACACAAAAGCTCATATGTAGTTACTTAAGAATATTCGCTTTCTGTTTCCATTGAATTACATTCTAGAAAATTTCTTTTTGTTTGTAGAAGTTTTAATAGACTAGATATATGTAGTGACTATCACAGGTATAATTATTACTTTTTTTAAAATGCTGTCATTACTTATGGGGTCAACATATATTGTGAACAAGTACGTCAAAGGATGGCCTGTTGGTCTCAGAGATTATGAAATAAATCCAAAATCAACATATTTCTCCAGTGTTTGTTATCTTTGGAACATATCTTTTCATAGAACCAAAAACTCATTTACATTCAGGGACATTTCCAATACAAAATTTGAAAGGATTTGACTAGAATGTTAAAATTGAATCTACCGCACTGATTCAAGGCTATCTGGGTTAAATTTATTATGTTCAAGTCAAATCCTTTTGAATTCTTTTTGTGGAAGAAATCTGGGTTATTTCTTACCGACCTTACCGTTTCCTTTACAATTAGCTCATTGTGTAATATTAAAGTACACGTTTTTTTCCCATACTTCATCCATTCATGTTCTTTTAGTATAAGTAGTATCACTCCCTTTACTGACTTTCTTGTTTAAAAAGTGCCTTCCATGACTTCTACTTTCGCATATGCTTTCATTTATATTTAAGTATGTCCCTTAGCTTGATCATCTGTTTTTTTCAGTAGAAAGTCCTAGAACTTAATGAGTCAGCGATAACAATAATCAACAATAACTATTGATTGAACTAGAATTTGAACTATGTTTAGCTATAGCTATACTGTGTTCTGCACAAGGCTCAAAAAAGATTTGAAAGATGCAAGATTTATCTACAGGAATGTCTCTTTTTCACATTTTGTGCTTTTTTTCACTAATGTTATTTTCATACATAACCGCCAAATTTAACAAGCGAGTTTGCACGTTTCTTTAATTAACTGCACTTAGCTTGACGTCCTTGATTAATGTTAACAGAAGGTCCTAGAATTTCGATAGAATGAGATAACGAAGCACTACACGGCTGACTAATTATTCACTCAATTTTGTGCTTTGTTTAGCACAAGCAAGAGAGTATCGGACTCTCTTAAACGAAGATGCAAGAACTCGTCCAACCATGTTTTTTCTCTCATCTCTTTCCAGTGTTTCATATGAAATGCTTTCAAGTGTTTCTTTTTTTCATATGTTTAAAGTCAACTGAACAAATGAGTATTAAATTTGATGTTTTTTTAATTTCCTGGAGTTTCATCACATTATTCATGGGCATTCTAGTGTTAACTCAACAGAAAGCTCTAGAATTATACAGTGTTAACTGAACTGCGAAGCCACAAATAACGGGTTTATCCACGTGGAAGCACTTAGGGGCGACTGAGCGTCAGTTTATGAAGGTGTACGCGCACGGGAAGAAAGTTAGAGTATTGAAGGCGCTCCAAACTAGGGCCGGGTCTGAGGGCATGCTCCAGCAGAAAATTTTTATATTTAGGGTCTCGGAAATGTCATTTCCTACTTTACTTTTTCCGCGGAACACTTTCATTAAAAAATGAGGAAATTGCAGTAGTTAGTTCTTTATTCTACCTGGGCTCGAGTTATCGGTAAGGTAAAATGTTTTCGGACAACAGGGTAAAACAGTGACGCCATCAAAGAGGTTACAAGCTGAGGGCGAGACGTCTACCCTTCAGACGGGCAAACTCCGTTACAACGCCATCGTGATCAAATATCAGCGTTCTTATACTTATGTATAAGCCTGTTTCAAACGTGGTGCTACTGCCGTGCTAAGTTGGCTCGACTGTAGCTTGACTGCAGCACGACACTAGCACGACTTCAGTTGGTTTCAGACGTCGAATTTAATTCAGTCGGATAGACTCGGCCGTTGCCGAAAACAAAACACAAAAATCAAGACACGGTTTAGCAAACTTTTAAATGTATTGTAATGTAATAATATTACAATTTATGAATTGAGTTCGGCACGGCAGTAGCGCGACGTTTGAAACCAAGTGGAGGTACTGCCGTGTAGCACGGCAAAGCTTGCCGTGCTACACGGCGGTAGCACGACTTGGTTTCAAACGTCAAGCTACTGCCGTGCCAAAGTCGAATTTAATTCGATCAATTTAGTTCGGCACGGCATTAGCACGACGTTTGAAAAGCGCCATAAAAAATATGTCTCGAGCAAAACTGCAAGAGAGCTCAATCTCTCGTCTTTCATCCCACTACAGTAAACACCCGCTAATAATTATGAGGGACGGACCAGTGGAAAACTTATGGAGGGAGGGGGAGCAGGCGAAGTACAAAAAAAATATTCGCGCAAGGGAAAATTACATGAAAAAAAAAAATACAAGCACGCCAGTTAATCCTAAAAATGTTCATGCTTTGGCCTAAAAAAAATTAATACAAGGAATTTGATAACGAAAAAAAAATTCCTGCGGCTCGAAAATTCCCCTCCCCCCTCATCACTTTTCTAATGGTCCGTCCCTAGCAACCTGTGGACTGTTAAGAACCTGCTTGAAGCTATTCCCAAAATATAAGAACCTGTTTAGCCAAGCGAAATCAAGCAGATTCTTATATGTGGGTTACAAGCCAGTAAATTAAGAAAAACACTTTAACCAAGGAGTTTGACTTCGAGATTGCCAGTTGAGTATTGCAAGAAGATACTGCACCAAACTTTGAATTACAAATAGAAGTATAACTGTAATTCCTACAAAAAAAGGTTTATAAAGGTGCATTAAGGAGGTTTGCAATGTACAGTTGCAGTGAATAAATACTGTTATAATTAAGGACCAAACTCAAGTTTCCTTATGGTCAACAACTATATCCTCTTCATTTGATTGATTTTCCGCGGTCCTTTGTCATGTTAATGCTCGTTTTTCTCGTGTTCATGCATATGATCACTTGTAAAGTCTACGATTTTACCAAATTTGCAATAAGTCCGACAATTTTCCTCTTTACTTACCATTTTGGCATATCCCTGTCGTGCAATTAAAGCATTATCTTCACACAAAGCCGACACAGCTCTTTAAATAAAAGTTATGTTATCTAAAGGTTCGAGTTATATTATTGTATTTCAAGTTTCATGTTGTGCCTTGTTTAAACTAGGAGTTTTTGAACAAGGGACCAAGCATCATTAACGTGAAGCATTTGTCAGCTGGTCAATTTCTTTATTCTTATTACCTACATACTGAGACACTCACCGAAAAGCTACGTCGTAAATTTTCATACTGCATCTTAATACAGCATCATTCACTTAAATGTAACAATTGTTAGTAGTCAATCACGAATTGTGGTCGTTTGGACTTAAAGTGGATTTTAGTAATTTTAGCAAATTCTGCGATTTCTCCAAACTTTTGGTCATCTAACGTGAATCAGAATAATCCGCCTGTTGAAGTACTGCGATTGGCCAATTTCAGGGATGACTTGAAAATTCTACATAAGACCCAAGAATGTAGCAAAGAAATACGAAAAAGGGGCCATCGTAGTTTAATCAAAAGTAAGACACAAACAGAGTTGATAAACATTGTGAACTTGCGCATTTTATATCAGC